CCCCAAAACCCCAAAACCCCAAAACCCCATTATATTTATTATTTATTGAATTTGAAAGATGAATCAGAAACGTTTGATGGCAAAGAGAAGGGGAATTTCTCAAAGAACAACTTTTCATTTTAATAAACAGACTGTAAGGAGGAATAGTGTTTGTAAATTTTAAAATTTGAGCTTTAGGTTAGCTCTTAGAGGGGTTTAGACCTTTTCTGAAGGTTTGGAAACAGATTTTGGATCTAGGGGTTTGAAATTTTGGATGGGAACAAACTTTTTGTGTGTAGGTAGGAAAAACTTTGGATGGAAAGAAAATGAATCTAAAATTAGACGTCTGAAAACCATATACTGCTAAAGAGGTAAAAGAAAGGATAGATCCCCAACTGCAGATTAAGCTCTAAGTAAAGCTGAGAATAACAGTTTTGTGTAGATTTCTTCTATAATCCCTACAACAACTCAGTCGTATTCGGAAAGTACATGACATTCAAAGATCTCTACAAGGATACTGACTTTGAAGACCCATGGATCCAGAGTAAGATTTTTGTATTCCTCCTTAGTAATAACTTATTTAATAGGCTTAATCAAAAAGTCCAGAAGACTGTACTGTTAGGGTTAATGTTTAGAGATTATCACCGCAAGCCCACTCTGAAAAGAAGAGGATCTAAAAATATCAGCTCAAGTAAAAATTCTACCCAGATGAGAGCGTAAGCAACATTTTTGAAGTTAGAATACTCCCAGCAGCACTTTTAGACTATAAGCTTTCTATGGATTTCTAGAAATTCAATGGTTGATGGAAACTAACTGGTTTCTAGACTCCAATCAACGCTGGCTAAAGTTATTGTGAAAAAGTTAAACAAGAACTCGAAATCTTTTGGGTCTGACCACAGTTGCATGAAGAATCCAAATAATCGTATGTTTGTGCTATATTATCCTAGAAATCCAGACGCTTAGAAAGAAGAAGGTCCGGATCAACCATAAGCTACGAGTATGCTTTTACCTAATCTTTACAATAGTTAATGAGCTCCCCTGATATTAGAAGGACGAAAACCAAATAACCATCAGAATACTAGAAGGGATATCGAATTTGATAACTTTTTCAAAATTGGCCAGTTAGAGGATGATAATGAGAATACCAAATAGAGTGGACCAAGAAAGCATTTTCTGTAAGTTCTAAATAGAGACCATTCTTTGGAGGCAGACGGTTGTGTTTTCCTATCACCCACGATCTGGTGATTTTTATACAATTTATAATCTTTTTAACAATTTTGACAAACTTATCACATTATTAGCCCTAATAAACATCTGAGCTATATAACCAAATTTTAGCCATACGGATTCACTCTGTATACTATTTCATTCCAAAATTTGTTGACTAAAATTCAAAAATATTCCTTAAGATTTATGCTCGAACTTCTAAAAGCTATAAATTTTCACCCAAATTTTTAACTAAGCGCCTGATTCCGATTTCAAAATTTTTCTTCGTGAAAATTTTCTAAAATTCTTAAAAAAATAGCTAAAATCCCACAAGAAAGTTCCTCTGTTACGTCTGGTAACGAAACTGACCTGAAGATAGCGGTTTCCAAGGGGAAGGACGAAGGAGCACAGAGAGTGAAGAAGAGGAATTTAGTGAAGGGGCTGAAGAAGCCAAGGCTGTTCTCACCCCAGCCAGCGAAGAAAGTGGATAAGCAACATAAACGGCTTTTTAGCGCAGACCCTGATCGAAGAAGGCGAAAGGTTGATAAGAGACAGTGTTTTTCAGCACTGTCTGAACGCATCAAGGTGAAGAATAGAGAAGACCAAAGAAATAAAAATAAAATCAATCAGATTCAAGGTATTTTAGCTTATAATTTCTAGGCATGATTACCAACTTTACCAGGATTACTACTCCTGAGAGTCATACCCGAAATTTGAAGTATTATACAGTCAACCAGGATGGTGTTAAGGAGAAGAAAACTCTGTGTGAAAGCTGACTTAAGAAATGGTTTTCGTAGAGTTTTTTGTTTTGAGAATATTAAAGTATTCAACTATTTTCAACCTTGAAAAGAAGTTAGGGGTTTTGGGGTTTTGGGGTTTTGGGGTTTTGGGG